CTCCGGCGTTGCCGGCTATGATCTGGCCCCATGGCGGGAGATGCCAGAACAGACAAACTTAGGCTTGGCGAGAACTGATGCGAAGAAGACTGGGTCGTCGTCGCCGTCTTTGACATCGTCGTCGTTTGCCAGATAGTGGGGATACGGGTCCTGTCCCCGGCAAGGTGGGATAAAGGGTCCGGTCACTGGTGCTCAGTAGTGAGGATAAGGTTTCTGTCCTCGGCACCGAGTTGGGGATAGTAGGGTCCAGTCCCCGTTGAGGATTGGGTGCCGTCCTCAGGCGCAAGTACATGCCTGAGCGTCCTCAGGCATCTCCCCTTTACTCACAGAGCTTCGTTGGGCATGGTAGTGAGTAAAAGCCATGCCCCCCTGCACTCTACATGTGTCGGCGACGATGCACTGCTTGGAAATGGGCTCACTCACCCCTGCGCTTCATTGAAAAAGATCACTCACTCACCATGTTCAGGTGTGTTCCCCCACACACACTCTATCACATATTCACATATATACATACATACTTATATACATATATGTGTATATATGTATATATGTATGTATGTATGTATGTATGCATGTAGGCATGTATGCATGTATGCATGTATGTATGTTTATGTATATGTATATGTACATATATATATATGCCTGTGCGCACACACACACACACACACGCAAACCCCTCTATACATATATGTACTGTACCGGAACGTACGGACAAGCAAAGCACACCTGCTGGTGCATGCTGTCGAGTAGCAATTGGGGGGCGGAACACCAGCTCATGCAGAGGCAGCTGCAAGTTGAGCTGATATGGCTGCAGAAAACAGCCGAAAGGTCAGCATCTGCAGCATCCAGAAACCCCGGGCGCACACGCCTGCACTCTCCGACTCACAAGCCGAACATCCGAGGCTCGGACCGAACCACCCCGTTATCACACAGAGTGCAAACATGAAATGAGTTTCACACCTTCCCTTGCCTTCCCTTCCCTCCGTCCCTCTCTCCCTCCATCCCGTCATTCCTTGAAGAGAGCATGCGTCTGAAGCAACCCAGACCCACGTCTACCCTTGCAAGATGCACGGCATGCGACCCAGCTGCAACCGCCAAGAACGGTATCAAGAAGGCCCACCTTCCCCCGACACGCAGAAACCAGAAGCCTTCTAATAGCAGTGCGTGTCGTCTAGACGCATCCACAGAACTGGGTATGCGACATCCAGGGGTCGACAGATGTGATGCTGACGATGAAGTCCGCGTTGTCGCCGAAGATGCCTGCTTTGCTTGATCGGGAAAATCACGGGTGCGAATCGTTCGAGGCAGATCACCGCAGCCTCGCAAAAACAGGGTGTTCATGACGGACCTCAGTGTAGGGTTGACGGGACCCACGCCGACCGGCCTTTTGGCTGCGGAGTCGACGGTCACGCCGCCAGGCAATACTTCGGAATCTCAAACCATGAGCTATATTCAGGTTGCGAGCAAGAGCCTCATGTGAGATATGCCGCCAGCACACAAGACGGAATCGAAGTAAGCCGCAGTGCCGATCTCGCTTCCATCAGCGAACAACCTGCTCAAGCATGTGACACGATGCTGCGCTGCAGATGATACAGCGGGGTTGTGCAGGGTTGGTCATTGCAGGTTGTAGCTTGCTTGGAAGTGTTCTCCTGCCAGATCCTGCGAACACGACACGACATGCAAGCTGCGGGAGCCTGAACATCACACTGCAGAAGTAGATGAGGATGATCCACACTCCGAAGAAGACGCCTCAGAACCAAGCCCTTTCCATAGATGGGTCTAGAGCCTACATTGCCTACATCCTGACGGCTGCATTAGAGCACTGCCTACACAACGACCTTCGTCCCAGTGGCTCACGGATCGCATGGCATAGGCGAGACCCTTCAGGACGATCATGAGCTCGGGGCAGGCCCGCAGAAGCTTCGTCATCCTTCCGTAGCTTGAGCGGGACGCAGATCAAGCCTGACATCTTGAAGCCTGCGCGGAAGCCTGAAGAGGCCTAGAATGATCGAAAGCAGGGCATACCTGCATACCCACAAGAGTACCAACATCACCCTGTCTCACATCTTACCTGACGAGTCAACCCAAGGACCAACTTCAACGAAAGCGCTCCTCGTCAGCCGAAAGACCCTCGGGGAGCACAGTCTTCAGTCTGCTCACACAGTCCAATCGCTACGCACGTGCAACTTGACGTAGCTTTCGGACTTTACGTAGCCACTTCAGCGGTCAAACTCAGGTTCGGTTTGGCTGATGTTGAATGCTTGCGCAGTACTCGACTGTTGGCAAGCTGGATGATATGTGCGCACATTCCCGGGCCCACCGCCTTTCGTCACATACCCTTGTCCAACCCGGTTCGGAGAAGCTCGCACGTCGCAAGGCGCACCTCACCAAGCGCAGCATCCGCAGAAGGCCGGTGCCCTGTATCATCGACGTTTGCTGCCCGGTAACCTCGGCAGCAGGTCAGCCCCTGACGGGATCTATGCATGAATTCTCCCTCATCCATGGCAAGCGGCAGCAAGGACAAGGGTCAAAATCCAAACCTCTCCAACGGTGAGCAGCACCAAAATCCTTGGAGGGCGAATGGTGTATTATTCTGATGTTCCCAGGCTGCGACACTCCAGTGAAAAATCCGCCCGGATCAGCCCGCCCAGATCTGCCAAGCCACATGTCGAAGACGAACCAAGGATCCTTGAAAGAGTTGCATTTCCTGTCGTGCACGTATAGGCCAGGACCCCAAAACTGAGGCGGGCAGGTTGTGCCATCGGCCCAGCTTCTGGAAAGGACGGCACTCGGTCAGAGCCATGAAAGCTGGGTTGCATGACTCCTGCTTCTGTGGGGCCAAACACCGCAATGCAGCCTTCCCCTTCTGGTATCGAAAGCAGTGGCACGCGGCACCGCAACATACCGCAACACCCAAAGCCCATCCTGTTGAACCCCCAAGCCTGACCGACCGGGGAGTGCCTAGCCACACTTTCAAAGCAGATGTAGTCGCTCTCCGGATATAATCCCAAGCTGTCGCTTTGCTGCTTATGTCTCCAGGAGCAACACACGGAGGCTAAATGGTGTGAGGAGGCCTCGGTTCTGAATTGCCTGCTGCTGCTGCCGCCGCCGCCGCTGCTGCTGCTGCTGCGGCTGCAAGTCTTTGAGATGTCGCGAAACATGTCAGCTAGAGCAGCCAGTTTTGTCACACACATGGCATGCCAATGACAGCACTGCAGGGAACAGAATCGGCCATCAAAAAAGCCACGTCCCATTCAACAGTTGCGCAATTCGCCGGCTCGCCCAGCCTTTGAAAGGCACAGAACCGCACCAAGATCTCCAGGATGAAGTATGTGCCTTATAATGAATCATCCAAAACGTGCCCGCATTACCCAACCTAACTTCGTGAAGCGAAATGCTTACGGCGGTCTTGTGATCAGGCTGCAGAACACATTCTCCATAATCTGGAAGACAGGGTCCGCATCGATGAGGGCCGCAGCAGTGTTGAGGTCAGCGTCCACTGCAATCCACAGTGCGCTGAGGCAGACCTCACGGAGAGCCAGCGACCCACATCGTGTGCCACGTCCCTCTGTGCTGAGGCGCACGCAATTGACAGAGTAACATTCTCGAACATGGGGCTCTTGGCAATCCTTTGTGCCAGGCCAGTCTCGTGGTAGTACTCAAACCTTCGTGCGGCATACAGACAGCATAGAATGGCATAAAGGCTTCTGGACTTGAGACGGTTCCGTTATTATACCGCTCCGAATCAAAGGATCAGGTCAATTGACTCAAGTTCGAGTCATCATTTCTTTTTGATGGCCGTTCTTGGCATTCCTGGCAGATGCCATTTCCTGCTAACAAGTGATCCTCTTGTGTATCCACGACATTGGAAGTCAAACCTGAAAGCAGCTTTGCTGCAGACGATCGCAAGCAAGCACTTTCACGCCTGCCCTTTCTGACGAGCATGGTTTCCCGACAGCAATTAATTATAGGGGCAAGCGGCACATTGTAAGGTGGCTTCATCGAAGCGAGCTGCGCATCCCTCTTGAGCTGATCTGCACCGGCAAACCTTGGGCATCGATCAGTGTTCGGACGAGAAGCATTGCCAAAGGTTCACGTCGCTTGAAGAGTTCGAAATGCGGCGCAGCGACACGGAGGCTCTTTGAGTTTCCACTCGCAGCTTCTTCTTCGGATCCAGTTGCGCGGCGGCCAGCCGTCTGGGAACCGAATGCTTGGCGTCACACAAAGCCCTGTACGGCATATCTCACCAGGGCACTTTTTCTCCTTCTTCTTCGAAAATTCCACATTAGTGGAGTCGGTTTGGGCCTCATGGGGCGTGATTGTCTGAAGCAGGGACATCTTCAGGTTCACTGGTCCTGGGGCACCTGCAGCCCTGTCGTGAGTATGATTCTCCTGCAGGTGCAACCAGGTGAAGGGCAGCTTGATTCTCTACACAACTTCGGCCAGCATGGGATGATGACAACAGCCCCCGCGTACAAGTATTCAGTACTATTCACTATTCCGTATAAAGTCATCCTCTGCGCTTGAAGCGAAAGTGGGTGCAAGCATCATCCACTACAGAAGGGCTCACAACATGACGGAGTGCAGCTACGTATCGAACTCATTGTTGAACACATGCGTGAAGTCGCTCCGTCTGCAAGCCAAGGTCCCGCAGCCGAATGGGATGCCTGCCAAGTGCTTGCGCGTCGCCATCCCAGCAGAAAGCAAGAAGGAAGCGGGAGAAGAGGAAAAGCCGAGCATGGGAAAGCCCGAAACATGGCAACGTGGCCACGTACTGCAGAGGATGCACATGGCTCATGATCGTGCTGCGTTCCCTACCATCCAGCAAAACGCTTATGCAAGCACAGCCCGCTCAAGGAAGTTCAGGGTAGCCTCTAAGGGAAAAAAAGGCTTCCTCAAACAGGACGACAGGCCGGGCTCCCCGGCATCGCGGCGATGACGGCCTCGCCGGTGCTGGCATGCTCCTGCAAGTTGCAAAACATGTCGGTCTGGGCTAGACTGGTACGGACCTGGACCTACCTCCACGTAACGCTTGAGGCCCTGCCTCCAAACAATCGTTGCTCTGCAATCTCCGAGTGGCCTTGAGTTCTGAGAGGAGAGCTGGAATGGCGCGGCGCCGGCTCATCCCATTCAAAACAGTCGCCAGCTGAGCACAGTGCAGCCCGAAAGGATCGGCGCCGCGTTGGGGAAGACTCCTGCGAGACGGTCAGGCCAGGACTGCCTGATGGCAAAGACATGGCATTTTGAAGGTGCTAGCCTGGGACCGCTCTGCTTCCACACATCGAACACATCAACTTCATTCGGAGCATTCGGGGTTCAGTGTTCGCACGTCCTTCTGCGGCTTTTCCAGATCGCCAAGCGCATCACTGCCCGTTGTCGACACGAGCTTATCCTCCGTAGCGCAGACCGGATGCAAGAGACCAGACCATTCTCTTCGGCTGAGAGGAGCTAAGCAGCAGATCGCCGAGGAGTGAAGTAGAGGCTAGGAATCAATGGGGCGGCTCCGACAATACAGCCAGGCGAAAGACGCTTAACATTGTGGCCTCTCAAGCCATAAGCCATAGCAACGAGAAGTCCATAAGCCTCATTGCGCAGACCCACATGCATACTTAAATCTTAAGTTCTCAATGTCTTAGGGTCCCTGAGGCCGCAGCTCAAAGCCAAAAACTAGTAATACCACATGCGATCCCTGAAGCCTCTGCCCTAACTGGGTTCGCCATCCGATCTGTCTTTCTTGGGCGTGCTTGCTGATTCGCGGATTCCGCGACCGGGGATCTATGACGCAGTCAGTCGCCCCGGTCTGATATGACATACGATATGACCCTGTAAACACCTGCCTCGTTCAGGGATATTGTGCGCGAGCTTCGGAGGGAGGTCCTACCCGAACGGCGCACAGCACGATACCAAAAGCCATCCGACAGGCTGAAGAATCTCAGCATGCGGGCTTGGAGTTGCACTGAATAACGGTCGCATAACGTGCCTCGCCGCAGCAGAGGGACCTAACTCAAGAGCACTGCACACTGCGCAATGCGCAAGCACCAGGTGCAAACAATGTTGAGACATGCGCACTGGCCCTGTCACCATCTATTGTGGATGGTGCGTGGAGCGGACTGATCCTAGAGTAAGAACTTCGAATCTCCAGATCAGCGGCTCTCCGAGCCAACATCTGGGAGCGACTTCAGCGACAGGTAGTCAACGCCCATGAACTGCAGGAAAGGCATGAACGTAAGCCAACAGCAACGCAAAATATCTGAGGCGGCTTGACACCTCACGAACAGAAGCGTCGAAGCTGACACTGACTCACTTCGCAAACATATTCATCATTTACTGAATTTGCTGTCACAACTTCAGAACATAAACCAGGAACAAGTCCCAGTCAAGCAAAGCAAAGAAATGAAGGCCACAAGTCGCCATGCAGCCTTCTGTATACGGGCCATCTCGCCAAGCATAAGTCGAACTTCTTGAGAGGATTGCTTCTTCGAGCTTGCCTCAGCATGTCATGTGTCCGCCCTTGCCCATCACCTCCAGGCAAACAAACCTGTTTGCACGCGATTTTGGCACAAACAAGTGTCAAATCCGGGTTGTGCAAGCGAGAAGCCACGTCCACACGGAGGTTCTGGAAACCTGACTCAACATCGGCCTTCAGCAAATCGACCTTTGGACCTGGCAGTCTTCGCAAGGCTGCAACATAGCTTTCTTCTAATCGGAGAACATGCAAACATGTGCGTGGGACGTGCTACTAAACAGCGGCGTCGAAGGAAATTATGTAATTTGGGCTGCCTTGGTCAGCAGCTGCGAACTCAACCAGCTCCTGCGTTCATCTGCAGAGTGAGGGAGGCCTTCCCCTACCTAAGGACCTAAACCCAAGCCGCAAGCCCCTCCGCCCCAGTCCCGAGTCTCGCCCAGGCACTCGTTTGAGTGGCTCATCTCTTGGCGCAAGCCTTGCGGGGGGCCACCGCACAACAGAGCTCCGAATATCGAAGAAAGCCCAAAAGACTAAAAGAACCGTGTAAATCTCATGCGACCACAATATCACGCTCTTCGAGGCTGCAATAATCCGCCGTAGATGCAGAACGCAGCCACTTGGCGGAAGAAGGCACTAGTGCTTGCTCAGCCGCTCTGAAGGTCGGACTGCAGAGAATGCAAGAGTGCCTGAGGCTTCTAAAAAGCACTCAGAGAATTGCAAGGGATCTTCCTGGCTCGCAACTCTGCTTATCATTCATCCGTGGCGTGTCGTTGCAGTCACGGCCCATGCCAGGCCTCCAGCTTCACATTTCCAGTCCTGCAATCACTGATAGCTGGCGACTCTGCAGTTCGTGTCGTTGTCTACTTTCTCTGCGGCGACGGTGCTTGCTGTAGCAACATCCGCAAACTTCCGGAAACTCTTGAGGCCGCTGCAGCAACATTACACGAATGCCGTAGAGACTGTGCCATCCCAAAACAAAATCGGATCCTGTCGTGCAGGGACTCTTCGATTTGATCGCGTAGCTCATGCAGGTCGTTTCTGACAGAGTGGTGGGCAAAAAGGGAACTCGCAAGGCATGGCACAGCACGACAGCTCTAAATTGACTCTTTTTGCCTCTCAACGCGCCGACTCCCAATGTAAGTCACCAAGCTCGAAAGCTGAAATTAATTGGCATGCCCCGCGAAGATGTTGACCCCGTTCACACGCAGATATGGCCGCGGCTTGTGTGAGTGCAGATGCCTGAATGCGGCCTTGCTCCATCTCCATGATTAGCCTTGTTACATGTGACCACTGACCTCAAGCGATGCATGCAACCATGATGGAGTTGTACACTGGAGTGTCGCATTGAGCACCAGTGCTAGTACCGTGAGATAGCAAACGACGGGGTGGTAAAACGTTGGCAAGCCAAAACAACGATGGTCCACAAGGCCCTAGCACTGCGTCCAGAGCTCTCGAGGCACATTGCCAGTTACGACACGACACCTGCCTCAGCTGTGCATGCGCCGACTTCTGCGCTTCATGCACCTGTCATTCACTCCAGCCGGCTCTCTCGACTTGCGTCTCGCCGCCGCATAAATGCAATCTCCTTGCAAAGCAATCCAGACCACGCTTGCACCTCGAGGAGTATCTCCTGCCGACAATATCAACAAAGATTCCATCTTGCATCAGCATCATGACAGCTTGTGTGCCTATCGTGCCCTATGGCAGCTGTGCACCTCGCCTTGTGATCGGGGATGCGGTACCTGCCCAAGACATAATTCAAGAATACCCTTCGTCTTGTGTCGAAACATCGACAACAACTTCTGTTTGCAGGCGAGGTGCGTAGGATCTTCTAGTTCCTTCTGGCCCTGTGTCACCGAAAAAGAACACGTGCAAGAATGCAATGGACGAAATGGCCACAACTGCCACAACATACGCGAAGGGCTGGGAAGGGAAAATAAACGGAATGCTGAATACTGTTTGTTTCATCTCGCCCATCCCGGCAAGGACAAGAATGCTGATCCGTAAAACAGTAATTTGTGTCAGGATTGGAGAAGCCCTCGCTTCGTGGTTTGGCGGCGCACCACATTACAAAAAGGTACACCATGTGATAGCCCGCCGATGCTTAAACCCCTAAGCAAGCCAGTTCCACGGTTTTGTGTGCTTGTCAAAGCTGTGCCGCACGAAAATGTGCCGAAAAATCCACCTGCCTCCGAAATTGCGGGCATTTACCTCCAGAATGTCGTGACCATTGGCAAGACTCTCAGTCATAGGCTGTGCATGGACATGGATGCGGACGGGCATTGGACGAGATAGAAACGGTGAGGCTTCTATGATCAACAGTCAGATTCTGCGCCACACGGCCTCCAACAGCTCGGTCCGCGATCCAAGCTGAGACATTTGCGTGCTCAAACTGTCCACGGCCTGGCAGCACAATACCCGGCATGTGGCAAGGCAACAATTGCGGCATCGGCGGGCCTCTCGGATGTACTCGCCAGTCGATCGGATTTGCACGTGGCAAGCATCCAAATGGTCCTTCTGATCTGGCTGCGACACTACGGATAAATGCATTGCAACCTTTCGATGGGAAGACCGGGAAGACTGCAAAACATCAAACATAAACACATAAGTCACATAAACAATCAGTTTTGTCGAGTGACAAAGCGTCGTCCCAACTCCTGGTTTGCGTTGCGCCTGAGTCTTCGAGCGACTAGCGGAGCGCCTATGGCTGGTGGGCTAGAATCCTTCAAGCACAACGGAACCCATGAACGTAAGGTCGAGCCAAGCTGCAAAATCTCGCGTCCCAATGCATCGCGCTCTGCCCTAACGAAACTCGAACTTGATTCCAACAATCTCTGCATGACTGTACGAAGCAGTACCAGCCGAGGAACTGCTGCAACTCATCGGCTGCTCTCGCAACGTCCGGTCTCCGCTGCTTGCGGTCCGATGCCTGGTTCCACAAAGTGCCCACAGCTCACGGCTGATTCTTCGACACGCCTTCCCGTCAAGTATCAACAAAAGGGCAATTCCGCATGAGCTTTGCATTCAGCAAATGGGAATTCGGTGCATCACTCAGTCGAGGGCTCTGAGGGCATTGGCAATCTCGATGCGCAAGCCGTCCGCCTTAGGGGTCGCGAGATTTCGCTGTCTTGCCCTCTCCTGCCAGCTCCTGTCGCTGTGTACTGAGACACCCACTACATTTGCCAGTAGTTCTTGCGAAAATGCATCCGCAGTTCCCTGGCAAAATCACCCACAAGAGCTTCGAAGCAGCATAAGGGTTTCCTGCAAGGTTAAGAGCTTTTACACATTTTTACACTGATGCAGAGCAGTCAAAACAGTTGGAGGGAGTCGAACGCGGATTGCCGTTGGTTTCCTGACGGCTACGGGTTTTCATTGCTTTGGATCAACCCACCCCACACCATGCCAGGACATACTGAAACAACCCATCTTTCATCGCAGGTCCTCGAACTGTCGGTGGTGATAAAAACCCTGTGATTGAGTTCGTCGAGGCTTAGCATGCCGTTGCTGCTTGTTTGATGATGCCATCTAACAATAACTCACAAGGAAAGGAAACCCCAATCAACACGATGTTAACGTCTGCGAGCAATAAATGCTTCAATTGCGGTGCTGGCACAAACACAAGCATGCGATTACCCACCTCAAAAATGCGAAAATTTGAAAAGTATCCGCGCAACAGTCCTATGAAAAGCTGCTATCGTCACAAGGGCGAGAATCAAAGAAAACACAAAGGCCAAAAGCCAGCAAGCCGAATATGACAATAGCAACAACAATGCAAACTGTATTTATGTTTTGCGCAGACCCTTTTCCTGCTCACCTCGTGTCTGGTGGGTGGGTCCTAGTCTAGGTATCTGACAATCAAGAATCACACCAGAACTTGATTGACATGACAAGGTTTACAGATTAGGCCCAACCTGTGCTGCGAGCTGTTCGGCTCGTTCTTCTGGCTGATCTTCCTAGTTGCTCTTGAAAACATGAGCCCGCACCTGGCGGTTCCCAGCCGAAGATCGTCTTTCCGGACCTGAGTTTGCTCCAAGCACGGCCTGGCTCCCTTCCTGTCTAGAGACATGTCGCCCATGCTGGGACACACGCGTCGCTGTGGTGACCTTGGCCTGCTCATGTTCCCGATCCCTTCTGCGGCTCAGCTGTACTTGAGCCAAATAAGCCCGAAAACGAAAATAAACGTCCCAGCAGCCAAACACAAGCAAAGTGGCATGAAGGTGAGTGCCGACAGATGCTAGGGCCGCTAGGGAATGACAACGTTTTTGTGCATAGACAGGACAGCTGCAAGCCTGAAAGGACAGCACTACAAAATGCGGACCAGCGCTCGCGACGCAAGCTTGTTGCTCCTGTTTCGCGTCTCGCACCTGCTGGTGACGTGCACCATGGCAGCCCAACTTCACCATCGGTACAATGTGGCGCACGTAGTGGTCTGCGCGGCTGGCATTGTGTGTGCCATAGCACTGAGTGCAGCATACCCGTAGCTTTGAATGCTCGTCGCGAACTTTTCGGCCTGCACAGGGTGTGTCGACTCTGCAACTCTACGTTGGCACTACGGCTGTGTGGCACGGTCCCGGCTCAGGGCCGCAACGGCAGGCGATTGGTCCCTTCGTCTGCAGCAAAGTCCGCGGACAGTTCCACCCACCACCCATCTCCGAGCGGAGGACCAGCAGTCTCTGTGGTCAGGATACGTGGAGCGTTTGCGGTGCTCGGCGATCTTCAACGCCGCCCCGTATACCACGGTCGCATCGCAGAAGAGCGCCCCATGGCCGCGTGGCACTACAGGCCACGAGGCCGAGGCGCTGCCAGTCAGTGCCTCAGATCGTTCCCTTTGCAGCGCGCGTGCGCCCTGGCCCGTGTTGCCGCCCGTACCAGGCCTCACCCCGCGCGGAGCTCTGCCTGGTTATAGGCTTGGCTCTGCAAGCCAGCCGTAATAAGCTTGCGGACCTTTCAGCTGGGCTGCACCCGCCAGCCAAGGTTATTTACTCTTTCACCGCGCATTGCATCATATTGCATGTATGCACGTCTCTTTGCGCGAGAAGATGTCGCAAGGGGCCTTCCCCGGCCCCCTCCCCAGTTTCCCCAATCACCGTACTGCTTCGTGACCACACGCCGATCGGTCCTCCTCCACACCTTCGTCAGTCGCCGACGCTGCCTTGCGCAGTGAGGAGCCTGTCGCCGCACGCGCCGGCCGGACTGATGATGAAGCTCGAGCTGCCGGACCCACTGCGCTCGTCCATCTCGGGTGTCGGCCCCTTCTCACCGAGCATCGTGCGCCTTTGCCCCTGGCTCTCCCGACGCCCTTGGCGAGCTTTGCGACCCCGCCAATGTGGCAGGCGAAAATGCTGTTCCGGCGGTTGTTCCCAGCACTGCAGGGCACGCGGCTTTCGAAACGCAAAGGATGTCTTTGACTGGTTAGCCTACCTCGACATTTTTTTTTAGTTTAGAGCCAATCATGCGTTCCACGGCGTCGACTCCCGCCTGCGAGCGGTGCTGCCATACAGCCTCTCGGCGTTCACAAGTTGGGGCCTGATTCGGGGCCGTTTGTAGGCCCGTCAACATCAGCGCAAACGGGCAATGACGGCAGGGCTCTGTCAGGCTCCGTCCACTTCGTCCTGCGGGCTGCTGTTTCGGCGGGCGCGTTGCCCCCGCAGTTGGCAGCCTTGGCCATTTCAGTATTCACCGAGCAGTCTGTGTCATTTCTGGTGTCCTGCCAACCCCGGTGTCGTTGGAGCATGTGTGTGCCGAGACGCCGGAACCCGCGTCGCGTTGCTTGGATAAATGCTGTGCTGGTCCACTTGGCGCAGGCGGGCATCACACGTATGATGTGGATGATGTGGAAAGGTATCTGCTCACTGGGACGTCGGCTCAAGATTCGATTAGCTTTCTGTCGGAACCATGTTTCTGGCTGGAGTTCGTCCAGGCAGTGTTTCAGGCCGTTTTCTGTTCACGATTCTGTTTGACAACATCTCTGGCCTCAATGTTTTTGGCAAGTGGGCCGACTGCGAGGCGGCTCGTTGCCATCCCCGCAGCGGCTCTCCAAGGGCGCGCTCGACGAACGAATGACGACCAGGTCTTCGCCGGGTTGGCGCGCAGCAGGCGGGATCTATAGCCGGCCTGGCGCAGGTGCGTCTGCGCAGCAATTCCGGCAGCAGTGGAACGCAGGGCAATGTGCAGGAATCTGGCTGCGGTGGCGGGTGCCCGCATATTGATGTCTTCGGCTGTCGCTGTCGAAACCAAAGGCCGCTGGGGCCTTGAACTCACAGCCTTCTTGCGGCTCCTCGCACAGGCCAGTCTCCCGTCCAAATGGGGACCTCACTTTCGCCGCACAGGTCCAACATGCTTGCAGACAGGTTCCTCACCTGCGACATTCCAGAAGCGGGTCCTGCCGCGATTGAGCTCGATGCGCGCGTGCTCGCGGAGTGTTCGTTGGCAAACGTCCTGCAACTCACGGATTCGCCCAGGGGCCGCAACAAAATAGATGTCGTCACGGGAGGCCAAAACCGCCTCGCCTTCACGCAACTGCGCGTTGGCAGCTGCGAGAGCGGGGTGTTGAGCCTTGGCGTCGAATGGCATCGAGAGCGGGCATGAGCGGGTCACCTTGCTCGCCTCCCGCGGCCTGCCAAACTTCGTGAGCGTTGCCCTGAGCGTCCTGCCACAAATACATGATAGGCATGGTGTCGGAAGCATAGAATCGGCATAGAATGGGCGCACGAAAGGCAGTAAGAGCTGCAGGCTTGGCCTGTGCATCAAACCCGCGAGCATCGCGTGACGGGAGACCTGATCAAAGGCTCCCACAGCCTCGGTGGACAACACCGTCGCCCGTGGATCATTGGAGTGACAACGCGTAGGAGACGATGGAGACGGACCAGCGCCTCCGGGCCTGCGTGGGTGCCGAGGCCATACTGAAACGGCATGCAAGCGGCTTGGAGCTCGGACGCGTACTCCCGCCCGAGAGTGCGTTCGACCAGGCGGCGCAGCACGTCTCCGACGACGAGGGCTTGCGGAGGGCGACTGTACGGCCAGCTCGGATGGCAGGGACAACCGGCGCCGGCACATCTGCACGCACAAGCCGCTTGGCAGCACCGTGCAAGAACGTGCAGTCAGCTTCATCGTCGAGCAGTATGCACGAAGGCTCGTTGTGATGCCTGACGGCCCAGCGGCTGTGCCTCGTCTGGCGTTTCGCAAAAAGGCGAGGAATGCAAGTGCAGCGCACGCTCTTCTGCCGGTCTCCCTACAAACTCCGCTGCTGAATACAACGCCTGCGGCGTTGCCAGGCATTTATAAAATGCCTACATGCCAGCATTTCGCCTGCTAGCCTGGATTCCGCCTGCGCTGCACTGCGTTGGGCTTGCCTTCCCATGTAGAGTTAAAAGGTATGTAACAGGCACATATACGTGGTCCGATGGGCTTTCATTTACGAAGAAAACATCATATTGTAGAACTTTCAATACCTTGTATATCGTTCTAGACCCTTATTAAAACACCTCAATACCCCTAAACCTATAAAGCCTATTTTGTATAAGCTCATATCATATCCTTGTAACCCTTATAACCGTATTTATAAACCCCAAGCCCCTAAACCCCAAAAGCATTTTGCACAATTCCATAGATCGCCTGTTTCCTCCACTTTGTTGGATGCTTTTTCTCTCGCCGAGCACTCAAACTTCGAAGGAATTTTTGGGGCTTCACATGGTGTTGGGTTGGGCTTTACATAGGAAATGGAATTGATAAATTGGTAGTAGCAGTCGTCGCAATTGTAGCAGCAGAAGCAGTAGTAGTAGCAGTAGTAGTCGTAGTAGTAGTAGTAGTAGTAGTAGTAGTAGCAGCAGTAGCAGTAGCAATAGTAATAGTAGTAGTAGTAGTAGTAGTAGTAGTAGCAGCCGACACTGCTTGGACCGACGGGTCCCGAAATGCTTCTGCCGCCTGCGCAACCCAGGCAGGTGGAAGAGCACGCCGGGGAAGCCAGTTCTTGGCACGATCGGGTGCGCTGAAGCTAATGGGGCATCCGACGTGTTGCAGCCACAAGAAAATCACCACCCACAGCACGGATCTCTGGCGTACTCTTCCCATTGCTTCAGCCACTCGAAGACACCGTGGCAATGCGATGGGAGCAACTTGCAGGCAAATTATGCTTGTACATCAATTCAAGTTCGCGAAACATGCTTGTATAGACATCAAAACAAATTCGTGAAACATGATTTTCTACTTTTGGGCATGTTGCGTGCGCCTGCATACGCTTGGTGTGAAACTTGCTGGCAAAAACAAGCTGCTGAAGCCAACCACGCAACATCGGTGGCAAGTCATGGCATGCAATCAAGCACTGCTCCGCGCCAACGATTTCACAAATCGCTAACTTTGTGGAACTATGTGGCATCAGTGCGCCTTTCATTGCTGAAGCTGCACCCTGCTACCCCTGAAAGTAAAGACCGTTCACCATCTGCTGCCCGTTCGAAGCACATCACTTGTAAACATGACCACACCGAAGATTTGCCCCGTGCACGTCGCAAAGTTTAACGAGTGAAACCCAGAGCCCGCACAGCCAAATCACATCGCCGAAGCGCCTTCAGGGCCTTTGTTTCGCGCCGCAAGCCTGCGCTCGCGAACTGCGGAGAGGTGCAGCGGAGCCCCAGAACCAGTCCGAAAATGCTCAAAAACCGCTCGAAACCGGCGCTCAAAAACCCGCCCAAGACTGGGCGGGCGTGGCGACGACGCAGCACTCGGACGCTCGATAGCGCACTCAGCTCGGACGATGAGCTCGACGCACGACGCTCGGTTCGGACAACGCTGACACGACGGTGACGGCGGCGGCGACAATAAGTTGGAAGGCACGGCCCATCGCGAGAGATGGGGGTGCTACGGGGTTAGGGCGGCAATCCACATGAACTTCTGGGTGATTTCAGTAGGTGTCGACGCTGTGAGATTTTCGGATCTGGATGCAACGCCTGAGGCTGAGAATAACACAAGCTTTGGTCGATGCTTTTCGTCGCTCTTGAAGAGCGTGGAGCATAGATCTGATGACGCAAAAAGCGTGTGAGCCTCGTCGTAGACGAGGGTCAGCTCCCTCTCTTTCGCCAGCTTCAGGGACTCCGCGAAGGCAACGACTAAAGAATCTCTGTC